ACTTGGCCTTGTTAAACCTCATGCAATTTTCAAGCAGTAGTTCGTGTTTGTGAAAAATTGTTCTGAATTCAGTTCTTTTCTCCAACATATATACAAATTGCTCCAAGGTAGATTTCTTTTACAGAATTAATAAATATGCTTTTAGCTAACTTAGGTAACTGCAACAATGGGAAGAATAATAGTAGTATGGAGCTCAAAACACAAATTACTTTTCCTTTGTGAGAGGTCTGTATGTACAAAAGGCTAGAGGGAAGAAGATCTTTAAAAGCTTGAAAGTTGTTTCAAGCTGAGTGTTCATACAGTCACATATCTATCAGCACAGATTGTCTGATGCAAATTGGAAAATAGTACCCTGAGTTTTGTGTAAAATGTTAACGTGGCTGGAATGGCCAGTTTTTCTGACCCTCTTTGTAACTTAAACAGTTAACTTTACACTGTTGGGAATGTTGAAAAATGTCTTATTTTCTTTTCCCCTTCCCCCACAGCTGCTTGGAATGTGGATGCAAGGATTAATACCTCTGAACAGAATTCTACTTCTTTCTCTTCATTCGGATTAACTCCTGGAGTTTCTGGTATGTATGCCCTTCCAGAGATTTTTCCACTCTCTTCTACTTCAGCAGCTAGAATCAGAATTTGTCTAATACGCATCTTTCTTACTGTTTTTTTTTTTAAATAGTACTGATATGTGGAACAAGTAGAGGATAAGTTTTATGAAAGCCTAGAGTGCCTTTTTTTTTTTTTTGTTACGCTGAAATTATGCAATAAAGTAACTGTGTTAAATTGGTAATCAAAAGATAAATAAATAAATAAGAAGGCGGTATTTCTTATTTAGCCTTCCTGTTTGTTTGTTGGGTCTAAATAACAGGCATAAGAGTGCTTGGTGGTATGCCTCAAGTTGGAGATCTGGAGATTGCTTTCTAGGAAAGACTGCTTATCCTGATCTTCTGGGAGATTTGTCATTTGATAATTGGGTTTTTCCCCTTCAAGGAACTGAAGCACTGTTTTAAAAAATGTGTTTCCTAGGCAGGATTTGAGGTCTTAAGTCTTTTCTCTGTGTAACAGGTGGGAAGGCTGATCTCTGGGGTTTTCTTGTTTTGAAGGGTAAAATTGCTACGGAGCGCAAGCCTGGCTTCATAACAAGTCTTGTGTTAAACTACTGACACAAGTGCTACACTGATTTATTATGCAATGAATAAAGGGATCATATGTCAAGTTTTCTGCTCTGTTTTGTTACTCCAGTTATCTAACAAGCTTGGCATATTCTCTTCTAGGAAGTACCTGGCTTATGCATGTCTGTTATGCTTATGCATGTCTGTTGTGTTTGTTATGTTTGCTTGTATTGCGATTTACAGTCTTTTAACTGTGGAACTCAAGCTCAGTGTCCTGGAGCTCACAAGTGCTTCATTCCCATAGCACATCTCAGCCAGGATAACAAAGAAATTTGTAAACACCAAGGTCAAATTTATCAGACTTTCCAAAGAGGAGTTCACTTAATGAAAACTTACAGAAACTTCGTCTTAAAGACAGAGAAGAAAAAAATTCTTAATTGTACAGAAAGTTTTAATAACATAATTCCCTGCTTGAATTCAAGTTCAGTCTCTGGGGTAAAACTTAATCTCAAATTTAGTGAAAGTGGGACTGATCTGAGGTTCATCATCACCATTCCATCTTCGGCTGAGAGAGAAGTGTGAAGGCGGTGAAATATAATCATCATTTTTGACGATGTTAGCCAGCAATGCTGTAATGCAAAGCAACCACATGAACAAATATTTATGTCTTACTTGTGACTGACTAGCAAAAATGAGAACCTGTCAAGGTTGCTGTCTTCTGAGGTATCTTTTGCAGGGATCCTGTTTAAACTTCATTTCAAAAGTAAACTCATCATAAAGTATATTAATTTCTTTCAGTCTCACAATTAAGGTTATGGGTTTGTTTTGCTTTTCTTTCAATAAAATGGTTTTGTTTTGACATATTTTTCTTAAAATAATGTTAGATGTCAAACACTTTCTGTTATAATGACTAGAATTGGCCTTACAGTTGTTTGTTGTGCTGCTTCTATATTCCTGAAACCTTTTACTTGAAACAAGAATTGGATTGTTAGTAATGAGTAATATAATTGATATATCTGCAATGTAGTGGATAAGATTTCTTTCTAGTACTCTTTTCTTTTAAGCTTCTCCCTGCGAGAGTTCTTACTGACATAGGGTAATAATTTTACTACTCATAAAATCTCATTCTTTTTTTCAGTTTGAGGAGACTGCTGTAAGCCTTATAGACTGCTGTTATTCATCTTTTTTTTCCATATACTTCTCCTGACTTAATTTTGTCTTCCTTCTTCAGTTCCTTTGTTTTCTGCATATGTCTCATTTTCAAGAGCCTTGTAGTTTTAGTGTCCTGTGCATTCCTTAGAATCAGACTTTTTTCTTTGAGCCTTCCGTCCTCCTTTCCTTCTCTGATTGGAAATTTAATCGAAGAAAACTGGAAACTTGTTAACTTACAAGTACAATTTGATTTATTCCCTTTCAGGCTCCAACAGTGAGGCAGTTTCTCAGGCTGGTACTTCAGATTTTCAGTGGGATTTAAGTCATGCTCAACCCCCTGTTGATGACGAATGGTCTGGGTTAAGTATGTTCCTCTAAAATGTTCATTAACAAAATTTTGTTAGTTACTGTTACTTTAAAGTGTAGTTACTTATATTAGCTACTTGGATTAGCTACTGGTGAGCATCTGAAGAAACTCTTGGAATGTTTCACTTCTGTAAAACTGGTTGACAGTTTGAAGAAAGCAGGAAGAAGTATTTTGACAAATGATAATAGAAAATGGTTAACTGGTAGCAAAAATAGTTGTATATTGAAACTTGGAAGTGAAAGAGAGCTCATGTATTTTAAGGTAGTTCTGGTTTTGCTAGAAAATCTTGGTAATCAGTTAAAACTGATAGTCGATTAAAGTACTGCACATTATGAGAAAAACATACTGCAAGTCTGCAAAAGACATATTTACCAGATTGTATTTGAGTCCCAGAGTTTGCTTTTACATGTTTGTACCTTACTGATAACTTAATGTGACGCAAGACCTTCATGTTTAGTCTACCTTACTTTCTCATTTAGCAAAGATTAGGCGGTACTAGGGTAGAAATCACTGGAATTACTTGGGAATTGTAGTGAAATTGGTGTTTACTCTCCTCTCCCTGCCAATTTTCAATTATTCTTGTAGTTCTTACCATAGTCTAGGACTCTAGTATGATGAACTTATAGCCATTCCTGAATATTTGCTAGTGGAACTCTACCTATGAAGAAAGCTTTCAGCCTTATGTTCACTTTTTGAACTGCCTTGTAATCAATAGCTTAATTCAGTCAGATGGAAGAATGTTTAAGAAAAACAACTTAGTGCCTCTTGTTCCGTCATTGACATAAAGAATTGGTCAAGGAGTTAACCAGAAAAGCTATGTTATGTTCTAAGAACTTCTTGTTTAATGACAGCTAAAGTGGAATGGATTGATGCAGTCCTTGATTTCACCCGTTTTGGCATCGCTGCTCTGATACCAGATCTTTTGGAAACTTACCCTTTGTCTTGTATCTGATCTAAGTGTAACAGGAGCGCATTTCAGTTCATCATTTGAAAGTAATCAGTTCTCTGTGCTACCAAAAGCATAATTTATTCACATTTCTGAGCATAGAATGTTTATGGCTATAGCCCTAGGCTGTGCATGCACATATATATATATACACACACACGTATATATGAGTTCTCACTAAGGTATGATTGATCAGTGTTACAACTGAGCTTAATTTTTTACAAATTAGGAAGAACATTTAAGGTAGAAAACAAGTCTTAAATCTATCCCTCTTCATATAATCATGGAATCATAGAACTGTATCAGCTGGATGAGACCTTGAAGATCGTCGAGTCTAGCCTTTGTCCCAGCCCTATCATCCTACTAAACGATTCCTCCCAACACAACATCCACCCGTCTCTTAACCCCCTCCAGGGGCGGCGACTCAACCACCTCCCTGGGCAGCCTGTTGCAATGGGTGACAACCCTTTCAGTATAGAATTCTTCCTAATATCTAACCTGAACCTCACTTAGTGCAATTTACATTCATTTCCCCTTGCCCTATCACTCTCCACTAGGGCGAACAGACCAACCCCTGGCTCTCTACAATCTCCTTTCAGGTAGTTGTCGAGAGCGATGAGGTCTCCCCTCAATCTCCTCTTCTCCAGGCTAAACAGCCTCAGATCCCTCAGCCTTTCCTCGTAATACTGATGTTCTAAGCCCTTTACCAGCTTGGTAGCCTGCCTCTACCCTCTCCAGCACCCCAATGTCCTTCTTGTAGTGGGGGACCCAAAACTGGACACAGTTTGACACTCAAGGTGCAGCCTCACCAAAGCCGAGTGCAGGGGCATGATCACCTCCCTGCTCCTGCTGACAACACCATTCCTGATCCAGGCCAGGATGCCCTTGGCCTTCTTGGCCACCTGGGCACACTGCTGGCTCATGTTCAGCCACTGTCCATCAACACCCCCAGGTCCCTCTCTGCCTGGCAGCTCTCCAGCCACTCCTCCCCAAGCCTGTAGCGCTGCTGGGGGTTGTTGTGGCTGAAGTGCAGGACCTGGCATTTGGCCTTATTGAATTTCATGATGTTGGCCTTGGCCCAGCGATCCAGCCTCTCCAGATCCCTCTGGAGACCCTCTCAGCCCTCAAGCACATTGACGCTTCCACCCAGCTTGATGTTGTCTGCAAACTTACTGAGGGTGCACTCCATCCCCTGGTCCAAATCCTTAATAAAGATGTTAAACAGGAGCGGCCCCAGTACTGAGCCCTGGGGGACACCACTCGTGACCGGCCACCAGCTAGATTTAGCTCCGTTGACCACAACTCTTTGGACTCGGCCATCTAAACAGTTTTTCACCCAGCGAAGCGTATACCCATCCAAGCCAAGAGCAGTTAATTTCTGTAGGAGAATGCTGTGGGCAACAGTGTCGAATGCCTTACTAAAGTCAGCCTTTCCTTCATCTAGGAGAGTATCTCAAAGCAATTGCATCTAGATAGCTGCAGCTGTGAAATGAATATTTATGTCTTGATACCAAGAAGTGGGTTTATGCATAAGGGTTTTTTATTATTTAAAAAAAAACAGCTGTCAAAGAGCACCTGTAAAGTAAGGAGACATTGCTGAAAATCTTTGTAATCTTTACAGATGGACTTTCTTCAGCTGATCCCAGCTCTGATTGGAATGCACCAGCAGAAGAATGGGGAAACTGGGTGGATGAAGAAAAAGTTGCTTCTGTTCCTCAACCTGAAGAGATATCTGATGTTCAGAAGGTAAAAGGTGATATTTTCTCCTTAGCTCCAAGACTTTGCCCTTACCACTGCCATTTTTTAAAGTAAGTTAAGGGTGGTGATAAAGATAATCTCTCATGTTTGTTACACTGATAAAGAGTGGCACAATTCTGTATAATGTGTAAACAGAGAAGGAAAATGCTGAATGTTGTTGCTGGGGAAAATAGAAGCCACTTAGCTCCGTATCACATCTTACTGTCTCACTGTAAGGATAACCTTATCATTGTAGACTAAGAAAGGATTTAGATCTGTTTTAATAGATATTTCTTAACAATATTTCATTCTCTTTATGAAAAATGGCATTTCTTTGCCATCAGTACATGGTGCTTTGTTGCCTTTTTCCATTCCCAACTCCTTCACTTATATTACCAGTTAACAAGTATAGAATGTGGTCTTCCTAAAATGAAGTGGGCAGATAAGATTGTGTTGATTTCATACTTTTATATGGAGTTAAATTCCTTATGGCTAAATTTGTGTTTAGTCTATGGAAGACCATACAGCTAGTAGCCTAAGTTTAGTCTATAGACTAAATGCTGAATACCTTATATTCCTGTGTGAAGGCTTCAGATAATGAAAGAGAAAAAGCAGAGCCAATTCTTCAGAGTTCTACAAGTGGCAAATCCAAGAAAAAGAAGAAGAAAAAGAAGAAGCAGGGTGAAGAGGCTAACTCTACTGCACAGGTAAATGAAACAAAACCTGAATAGTCTGAAAGGCAATCGTGAGGAATTCACAAAACGACTTTATTTTGAGGTATTAATGTCTTCAGGGAAAAATTGCTGTGGGGAAATAAATTTCCTTGTGGTATTGGATTGTCTACCATTGTTTTTCAAGAGTTAAAGTATTCCTCCTGTTGCTAGTGTTTCCTTTCATTTGAATCATTCCACGTTTGATTTGTGAAGTTTTGCTGAATTTATGGAACGCATGAAATATGTGGAAAGCATTTATCCTGAATTATGTGTTTTCTATTAAATCAGGGTTCTGTACTGTAGGGATGCTTGCAGGAGGAACTTCCCTCTGCATAGGAAGCCGCCTTCTGTCCTTGGAAAGACAGCTGCCTTGGTGGATGTAGCTAGCTAGGTAAAGGAGAGAAATTTAAGTTTTCTCTTAGGCTGTTTACAGTTCTATGAGGGTATAGTGGTTTTCTGGAGTGCTGTCATAACTTGATTTATGTGAAACAGTAAGTATCAGCACCTTGAGCTCAGATGGAGAGACTCTGTGAGTCAGATTTGAATGAGATAGTATTTGCAAACCGAGGATGGTTGAAGTTTTCTGTGTTACTTAAATAGCTTTTGAAGAACTAAATTGAAACAGAATTGTTGTAAAAATAGAAAAAGCAGATTGCACTTCACTTGGCAATTGAATAATGTTTGAATAGATGAAAACAAGTACCTTCCTAATAGGAAATAGCTTTTAATAGCTCCTGCTCAGAATACATCCTGCTTCTGCTTGTAGTGACAGGCAGTGAAAACTGACATTCTTTACAAAATGTTAAATGCTCAGTTGAGTCTGACTAGGTGAATTGGAGAGAGGTCTTGCTTTGAATTTGCTTTTTATGATGATTGTGTTTTCAGTCAGAGAATTTATTAAAACAATTTTCGAAGATTAACTTCCTTTTACACAGAATTCTTTTAAAGTTGTCTGCATGGAGGTGGATGCTTGTGTCAACTGGCAGCATCAAGGCAAATTCAAACTGAGGGTATTAGGACTCCAGCTTTTTTGTAATCAGAGTCTGTTATGTTCTGGTGTCTGCAGTGACTCTAAGTCAAGATTAATAGAATATGATTAACAGGTGTTTGCAGCTGTCTTGCATGGAACTTAAGGTCATTGAGTGCATTCTGAAATTATTATTTTTCCTATTGCTTTTTTAACTTTTATATGTCAAATGGAATACTACTGTCCGTATTAACATAATCTGATTCATTTATTCTACCCATGGGTCTCAAGCCATTCTGATTTTGTTACTTTTCTTTCAATCCATCAGTCTAGACAAATCATCAATTTAAAGATGAGAATTTCTCTGTATTAAATTTTTGTGGAAACTTGGGCAGTGTTGCTCATACATCACAGATAAATTATCCTCGTTATAGCAGTTTATTAATGTGACCTGCCAGTCCTGCTTCAAACTCACTTAAAATTTGTATGTTTATCGTCTGAGAATTGAACATTTAAACAGCATCATCTTTCTCCTTAATTATAGTTAAGTGCTCACTCGTCAGTTTCAGTGTTTGTCAAGGCAGAGGAAGCTGCCTTCGGAGCTAGGTGTAAGGCAGTATGTTTCTTGACAGGAAAGAATATAAAAGACTTAGACTGTGACTGCATTTTCACAAAGTTCCAGGGGAAATACGTGAGGGAACAATGTTTCAAGAAGTACTTCTTGCTTAAAACTGGAGGAGACCTGTGTTCTATTTACTGTTTACCACCATGGGATTCTTCTGCTGCTGCTCTAAACAAATGTAACTACTCTAATTCGTCGTGTAAAATGAAAACTTTCCACCATTAGTGTTTAAGGAGTAGAGGTGGAGACTCTTGGATACTTTGGATAATATATTCATATTCTGTACTGAGAGGTTTGTGTTACGTACGCCATGGCAGACCAAATTGGGTTAGAAAAATATTATTAAGGGTTAATATATGAAAGAAAATTTACAGATTAATATGCAGAACTTGCATTTTAAAACGTTTTACTTAAAGCACAGAATTGAGAGCAGGCAAGTCTCATTTTGATAATTTTTGCAAAGTCAGAGTAACTTCAGTTTAATTTCACATCTTCATATTTTCCCTTGAGTGTGAAGTGCAATTCATTCAGAGATTGCAATTTTTGTTAGTAAATTGCTGCTTTCTGGGCATCAGTGGGTTCTATGGGTATTTTTGTATTATGATGTTTTATAAATTTTGAGTGTTAGCCCTCTAATATTAAATAGATTTTCTTAGTTAGAGAAGCTGATTATAGCAACAAAACTGATGTGCAGGGAAAGTCAGAACTTTTACTGCAAACACAGGCTTTTTTTTTTTTTTTTTCTTCCTTCCTACCTCCCCCTTTTTTAGGACACTGAAGAACTGGATAGAGAAGCTGGAGATGAATTTCAGGAGGATACCTCAAAAGTTCAACCACAGCAGGAAATAGCTTTTTCTCTGAAGACCATAAGTACTAGTGAACCAGCTAAGGTAGGGATTACAAAATTGGGCTTGTTAAAGTTTCTGATTTGGAATTGTTCAAAGTCCATTGAAAAATTAGTTTGTATAGATAAGGTTACAGTAAAAATATGGCTTCAGGGCATATAAAGGTGATTGAGAGGTTGAATTTTAGATATTGGTCAGTTACAAATTTTTAAAAGGATATCCCCTCTGAAAAGCAGTACCTTCTAAATTGCTAGTCACTTCCATGGCTGTCAGGTTATTTTCTTTTTTGAATATTAAAGCAGTAGTTTGAAATGTGGAAACTGAAAAACTTACAGGGCTGAGCATACTTTACTTAAAGTTTCATTGCAGCAGAATGAATTGAACTTACTATGTTCTGACTTAAATGCAGTCTAAACTTGATTTTTAATGGCTGTGCTGATCTTAACTTTTTATTCAGTCATTAACATTATTTGAACCAATTCACGAACTGACTGTTTCAGTTCACAGTTGAAACATTCTAGAGAATACAAGTTCTCTTTAATCTTTCTCCAACTAGCAGCTTTTTTAGATACTGTTATCCTACAAGGATCACATTGTAGGAATAACTATTTATTATTTCTAGTGGTGTTGGTTTTGTGTTCCATAAAGAGTGAACAATACTACTGCAAATGAAGATATTGGAATAGAATCTTCTGTGAGAGGCTGCAGATGACCAAAGAATAAGTAGAGAAAGAGTTTATTGAGGACATGTGACTTGAAAAGCATATTCAGAAATACTTTTAGCTTATTCTAAACATTCTACGTTGAGGTAAAGCTGTCACTGTAATTAGTTTATGTTCAATTCAACCTTTATTACTTGGCATTAGTGAGGCTGCATCTCAAGCAAGCACTCTGTTCCATTTTGGGCCACTCACAAGAAGGACATTGAGGCGCTAGAGTGTGTCCAAGGAAGAGCAATGACACTGGTGAAGGGTCTAGAGCACATGTCTTTTGAGGAGCAGCTGAGAGAACTGGGGTTGTTTAACCTGGTGAAAAGGAGGCTCAGGGGAGACCTTATTACTCTCTACAACTGCCTGGAAGGAGGTTGTAGAGAGGTGGGAATCTGTCTGTTCAACCAGGTAGCAAATGATAAGACAAGAGGAAATGGCCTCAAGTTGTGCTGTGGATGTTTAGATTGGATATTAAGGAAAATCTCTTTACTGAAAGGATTAGCAGACATTGGAATGGGTTGCCCAGGATGGTGATGGAGTCCCTGTCCCTGGAGGTGTTTAAGAGTCATGTAGACTTAGTGCTTATGAGCATGGTTTAGTTAGGCTGGACTTGATGATCTTAAAGGTCTCTTCAAATCTGGGCGATTCTGTGATTTATTTAAGGTTAACAACAGCTGTCTCTTCTGTCTCACTAGGGCTGAGTTGGGGTTTGTGGTTTTTTGGAGCCGTATCTAAAAATACAAAATATATCTGCCTATGTGTGCAAGTGGCTTTATTCCTAGCAGTGTGTGGGATTTTTTGAAAAAATACATTGTGTTGGAAGCCATGCTTGAAAATGTGTAGATAGAAAACTCATTTGGATTGTGATATCAAGGTGGCTTTTTGACATGTAGAAAGGGATGTGCTGGTGCCTCCCAGAAGGCTAGTTTTTGCTGTTTAGAATTCTAAATTTCTTTGAGGAATGTTTTGCAGCTACACATAATGTTTCTTCTGAGTTGCAGTTAGATTTTTATTATTTTTTTTCTCATGAGGTGTCAGTGCTGCCAAAATATCAGCCCAGTTTCAGTAGACTTTGCTCAATTGTTTTAATGTTTAAAACCTTACCCAACTTCCTTGAGGGCTTGATGGCATCAGCTGCAATATAGGTCCACAGTGTGTGCTATTTCAGAGGAGCTTGAGTGCTCCTCTTATTCTTGAGGCTTAAATTCAGTCTGTTCTCATGCATGTGCCTGTGTGTAGCTGTGTTTGTCAGAGGTGATGTTGTGAAATGATGTGGTCTCTGTTAAACATGCTGTGGGATGAAGGGCAAACAAAACTATCACTAACAACATTCTGTGGAAGTTAGTTGGACTTGATAAAGGACAATCTGTGAATTGTTGTGTCTGACAATGCAGATGGTACTCAAGCTTTATCGTGTCTCCTTGGCATCAGGTCTGGCTTCCTTGTAATTTCGTGTGTGCAAAGATGCCTTCTGATACTCTTTGACTTGGCTGTTCCAAAAATTTTTTAAAAATGGTCTATTACAGATGTGTAAAATGGATGACTTAAGTTTCCAAGATAGGCAATTTGGTCTTGAACAAATGCTTCAAAACATCAAATAAAAACTGAGTACAAATAAGTTACTATCCAGAGTATCTTCATAAAGATCAGAAACAGATGGATATTGAACACTTTCATTTTTTTACCCAATCATGATATTTTTCCCATATTATACATTCAGCCACGTGGCATTTTGTTAGCAGGCACAGGTTTTAAATGAAGAGATCTTTGGAAATCCTTGATTTGTAACAGTTTCCCAGTTTTGTTAATAAATTGCAGAATTATGCATATAACTTTGTTATTAAGTAGGCTTTATTCATTGTTTCAGGTTTCCTTTCCAAACTGAATACACAGAATACCCTAACAAAGCTTAGCACCTGATTCTTAATGCCTGAAATTCTTGCTCCCCCTCAACCGAAATTCAGACAGAAGTATGTCTAGATAATGCTGTATGTACTTCTGTTGTTACATTTGCAGTAATATTGCATGCTTTAACATTCAAACTGCAACATGTTTGTTAGTCAACCTGAGACAGCCGTATGCCATTTAAATCTTAATTTTGCTTTACCTGCAGGTGGAGAGTGACTATCCTACAAAACTATGATACCAGTGACCAAAATCAATTACCTTGCGCAACGAGGAGCTTTAAGTCTTCCTTGTTTTAGAGGTCACATCCATTCTCTTAAGAGTTCGTTTGTTTATGTAGCTAATGCTTGCTAACCATTAGACAACATTAGAACTGGCTAAGCTTGGAAATCCTGTAGGATGGTGGTTCATTTTATCAGCATGGTTGATAGTTCTTTTTCTTTTTTTAAGATTACTGTATTTTCTGTAGATTGAGAGAGAATGCTATTAGAGTTATTAAAAAATTTGTTTTGGTTGATGAGTAAGGGGAACGTCAAACTATTCATAAAAGGTTAGAGAACTGCTGCCTTCTAATAAGGTGGCGTTTTTTAATCAAAGGTGTTTAACTTCTTGCTCAGTATGATACAGTTAAAAAGAAGAGTTAAAAAAACTTTTCACTCCTTTCTGTGTTCTGACTAAATTTCTGAGATGCTTGCATTACAGGGATGGAAACCGTGCAAACTGGTGACTGTAACACAGAACCTGTGTACATTCACATCAAGGGCTGGGTGTAGACTTCACTGGTTTGTTGTATTAGTTTCAGGTCCCACTGGCTGTTGTGGCACAACTACAGTCATGGCTTTTTAATAACATCCTAAAGGTCTAGGTGTATTGCTTGACTGAGGAGCTTTTCTAATATTCTCACCTGAAGCCTTTGTGCTGTAGGTCACCTGCTGTGGGATCATGTGGGTTTTATATGTTCTGACCTTTTTCCTATTGGAATGTCAAAATGTCTTTTGCATTTTGACTTCCGTTTTACTGTACTTTAATTCCAATCAGTGCTACACAGTAAGCTACAGTTACTTCTTATCTCTGTAGTAGGAGCCTTCAAAATAGACTGGAAATAATTGGAAAACACTAGGATTATCTTTTATTTGACAGTTATTCCTACAGTAGTTTTCACTGAAGTGCTTTCTGACCGCTCTTGTAAATACCTGTTATTCTAGCATGAGCATATAGAATGTTTTGGGCAGTTGACAGGAATGACTGCAAATGCTTTCTAAATATTGTGAGTTTGATTTATTTGGGGGTTTAAGTTGCCTATTTGGATCTATACAGCCTGTCTTTTTTTGCCTTGCAGCCAAATCCATGTGTCACTGTCTTGTTTGTCTTCTGAATATGTATTCTATAATCTCTTCAGGCTCTTACTGATTTTTTTTTTCACATGGTTCTCTATTTCTTTGAGTGTCGTGTATTTTTAAGAATTCGTTTGAGAGGTTCATCTTTGCTTATATGCAACTAGAAGTTTTGACACTAGATGGCAGTCACAGTCTTGCAGCCTTGATTTACAATTTTGAAGGTTTTTAATATTAACTTAATTTTTCAGTGCCATCTTTCTAGCAGCTGCTAAGTATACTGCCAAAACAACATCGTACAAGAATGCTTTACTGTTGTGTGACTTAATAAAATCTGGGGAAATTTTTTTTCTGTTTTCTAAATAGCCTGAGGAGGCTCCTTCGCTTGCTGTTTCTACTGAGCCATCTGTAATTGTATCAGAGAGCGATTCTGACAAGATCACTTCCCAAGTGCCACAGATGCTACAAGAGACAGATGTTTCTAGTCCCAATATCAAGCAAAACAGTGTGCCTCCTCCACAGAGTAAGTACTTTTCAATGCAATTCTTCATTTTTTTGAATTTAGGGTGTATTTTTTTCCAATAGTGTGTATATGGTCAGAATGCTTTGCCCTGAGGTTCGGAGTTAGGAGTGCCCTATCAGGTGCTTATGTATTTCATTTATGTATCTTGCCATATTTTAGCTTTCATTGAAATACTTTGACAAATATACTTTCACTGTGAGGGAAAAACTGGCTTCGTATGCTTGAATGACTGAAAATAAATGTCTGTTGGCCTGCCCAGTCCTTAACAGACTTTTGGACGTTGCTCTTCACCACCAGGACTAGAGCTACATGCTGTGACTAAGCAGTTCTGCCAATGTTGTTTTGGAGACCTGCTTACCAGTCTTCAGTGGAACAGATGGATACTAACGTAGCAGTTGACAGGATGTTTAGCTACCAGAAATCTGGATAAAAAATACAAGCTATTCAGTTTTCAAGCTACTGGGTTGTTTCTTGACTTCTCAACTTAGGTCATTAACATCTTTTTCCATATGCTTCCATGAAATTTAGTAATCATGGAGGAAAACCATTGCTAATATGGGGATAGAAAGCTATTGGGCAATGCACTTAATTTTGTTGTAGCCTAACAGTGCATATGTCAGGCTGAACTGCTGCAGGTATATTTATTGCTTTTCGAAAATATGTTTTACATCTCTGAGTACAGCGTATCCTCGGCAAAAGTGTTTGTACCGAACCGGTCATCCATTAAGACAGAAAAATTAGAAGGGAATTCAGGATGCAAAAGGCCTTGCTTTAAACAAAACAAAGTTGTTTGAATTGGACTTTTTAATGAGATTAATAAATACTGTCATTTTGTTAGAGGTTCCTGGCTAAGTGTTCAAGTATTAAACCAGTTTTAAATGACTGCAGAAGACACTAGATGATTTCATAATATTAATGTCATTCAACTGGGCAATGGCTTCTTGGTTTTGAATATATTAAGCAATCTTTCAAGTAAATGGGTGAAGTTACGACTTTCTGTTATGGTGCTAAAACATGAAGGCTTTTGTGACTGATTCATGTCTCAGCAAGTGAAAGAACATCTCTTACGTTCTGCATGTAAGACATTGTGCCCGATTTGCCACTTTGGACAGCCAGCAAGTTTTAAGGCAATCTATTTTAATAACATAGTGCTTCTTTATTAGATTATGGATTCCATGCAACCACATCTTTACATAGTTCATTAAAAATACTCTTCTGACATGTCACTTATATTTAATGGTTAAAACCAGTGTAATCTGTTAAAAGTGAATGTTTAATGTCAACTGTGTACGTGTGCATTATTTCCAGTTAGCCAAAAGATAATGATGTCTCTACTGTAAGTAACGCATTTAGAAAATGAATGACCTTCATTGTGTATCACTCTGTGGTGCAGAAGAGTAGGTTGAAATTAGCAAGTGTTGGTTTAGATGCACTTCAAATTAAGTTCTGTGGGAGAAGCAGATAAATACAACTCTCCTTCAGGAATCAAGCTAGTCGAGTGTTCTAAATTACTTGATAATAGTAAGGGATGTACTGTCTAGGATTTTAAAAATCGATCCTATGTAAATTTTCTCAGTTCTAACACTGTAGTTATATTTTGTTTTTAGCAAAGTCTGAAGAAAGCTGGGAATCCCCCAAACAAGTTAAAAAGAAGAAAAAAGCAAGAAGGGAAACGTGAACTTCCTGAGATGGACATGTGTTGCTGAATATCGTCATGAAGATTATGCTGTTTATGCAATAATTTGTGAACATGTACAGAATTTTATATGAATTTCAAAAAATTTTTAAAAACAGAACTGCTGTGAACACAAACATCTTTAAAAAGGAATCAAAGGAGAGTAAATTTGTGATACAGCAAACAGAACATGCTACATTTGAAAGACGTGCTGAAGAGTCTGTTTTCCAACTTTTGGAGAGAGATCTTAATAGAAACAAAACCCTGGTTTTACAACACAGTGCCCTGTTTACAACAGATTATACTCTCATCGACAGCTGCGGATAAAAGATTAATTTCAAGGAAGGGTTTTCTGTAAAAATAATTGTCTGTACGATAGTGCGTGTTTCTGGCATCTCTTAAGAGTGATGCATTAGAAGCACAGAATGTCAACCATTCGAATTTATTTCCTGCCTAAATCAAAGTGCTTTGATTAAATACATAATCTGCCATATCTCTACAGCAAGTTGGTTAGCAAGTCTGCTAGCTGATACAGGAATCACAAGTCATTAACCATTTGTACAGTCAGACCTTCATGGTTTATTATATGAAGTTAATACAATAAAACTGCTTTGGGTTAAAAGTTTGAGAATGTGATTTGAAACTTGAGTATGGTTCATGAAGTTATTTTTGATAATGTCTATTACCTTACTTGAATAATTGAAGATAACAGTATATTTTTAAGAATGCAGTAACGTGCATAAAATTGGTTTTCTCCTTCATTCCCTACAGTTCACGATTGAGTCAGACTCTCATCTAAAACTGTATTCTTTTAACTTTTAAACTCATGGAATGAATTGAATCAAACGTTCCCTTTCCTTAACACTTTTTAACTTACCGTATCCAATTCCGTTCTGCGATACCCAATTCTGTTCTGTTCTCTAGTACTAAAACTCTGAAGAAAATGCAGTGATTTTTTTTCTTTTTCACTCACAGATTATTTGAAATTTCAAAGGTCTGTTGGAGAACTGGAGTGGCTTCAGACAGCTTTAATTGACATTGTCAAGACCAGTTATCAGGAACACATTTTTTTACTGCCTTAACCTGTAGTATGTAGAATGTGTCTACACTTCTGGACAGGAGTTAGTGTTTTTATATTAAAAAATAAAAATGAAAATTCATGCAAGTATAGTAGTTGTAAAATAAAGACCATTTCCCGCTTGAAACTGTTAATTAAAATGGTGTTTAAGATGTGTTGTCATTTTCAGGCACTGTGTAATTACTTGGTATCAAACTGGCAGATGTGTTTGTGTCTGTAAGGTGCATGCTCAGCCATGTACACTGTAAATAGCCTTTACAAAAATTCGTTTGATAAGGATGGTAATTAACATCACCTAGGAAATCCAGTTGAAGAAGAGCCAAGATTATTTTCTTTTTTTAATGATTGACTTCTGGCACAAGTGGAATTGTTAACAGCTGTAACACGTGGTACTGATCAACAACCTTGTACTCGTACTGTACTTGACTGCAGTTTGGCCGGATTGCAAGGCGAGAATAATTAATGCAGCCAAGCTGGTTTTAATTGTACTGAAAGTGCACCTTGCTAATGGAGAGCTTTCCAAATAAACGGATACTAACTTGCATGGGTATTAACCCCTGTATGTCAGGAACATGTGGCACACTAAATTGATTTGTTAAAATGAATTGAGCATATTGACAGTATTGATTTATTTACTGGGAAGAAGTAGTGTTTGAGAGTGATACCTGTCAAGATTCATGTAAAATAAATGTAGAACTGAAGTACAGCTTTTCAAGGAGCATCTTAAGGCAAACACAGAAAGAGGATATTACAAAGTCATGCAGTCCTTTACATGTAAATAATAATTTTATTTGTTGTCTTCATAAGTAAAGGTTAAAGAGTACCCTTAGAATTTGGGTTTGTAATGTGTGTCAGAAATGTCTGTTTCCAATCTGTATGTTGTGCTATGAGTCTCATTTTTAGAAAATACAAAGATATTATGTAATGAGAGAGACTGCCCTCAAGGGCTTTCACTGCATAATTTTTTTTTTTTTCCTTCCTCTTGAAGATAAAATTGGTGATATTTCTGGGTCGGTAAGCTCTAGCTCTTGAATAGCTTGTCATTCTGGAAAAAGGAAACAAAACTAGCTAACAACATAGGAACCCTGGTAATTAATTGCTCCTACTAAGCAGGTTCATATAAATACATAGCCTTCCTTTCAAAATGTTATTACCTGTTTAGCAGCACCTCTTACTGTTTTCTTCATGTGCAGTTTCAGCATCTTGGAAAGCAGAACTTGCTTTATTTGATGTTTGTTAAAGAGGTAGTAACTGTATAGCATATTGTCTATAAATAGAAACTCGGTTATCTATGTACTGTCCTGTTTCTATGACTCAAGCAGTGGTTAGTCTTAATGATACACTATATCCAAACTTTGGTACTTGGACAGAAAGAAAACACCATTTAAAGAAACTTAAATATTTTTTCTTTTCCTTTTTTTTTCTTTTTCCTTTTATTTCTTTTTGTTGTTGTTGAATGCATGGAATAGTTTCATAAATCTGATATGTTGGGTTTTCCTAAATACTCTGGAATTATTTGTATGCATAATTTAAACTTGTTGTGACGATGTGTAATTGGGTAATCATGGCATAATTTTATTTCTTTTGTGGGGAGGGAAAGGTGTACAGAATTCATATTTGCTTGTTACAAAGGTAACAACTGTGCATTGATTGGAGGGGGATGAAAACTGTATTTCTGATGCCCTTTTAGAAGTCAAAAGAGAAAAGTGCAAGAGAAAAGCACTACTTTAATATTTACTAAAAAAGAATGTACATATTAAAAACATTTCAAACTTTATAGAAATACTTCCAGTACTGTTGTGTTTTAACTGAATGGTATCATTGGAAACTACCTTCATAGTAGTTCGTAGCCACAGGTCTGTCCTGTGAACAAGACTTTTGAAAAGTGTAGACATCAGAACACGTGGTTTCAGCAGACTTTCAGCTATTAAACCACAGTTGCCTTTAAATGACCTGAGTTGGATGCCAGTCAATATTTCAGTCATTAAAAAAAAAAAGTCTCTTACAGGCACTTGTACCTATGCCTCTCATTCTAGTGACCTCTGAGTAGCAGCAAAGGACAGAGTTTCAGTTTTCCAGGCCTATATTGAAACATTTCTTCATTGTTCTGCTGGGAATGGGGAAGAAAAAAAAATTAAAAATGGAACTACTTGTTAAAAGACACTGCTAAAATTATTTTACTGTTAAAATTCCAAATGAATAATTGCTTCATTAAAGAACTAAGAGCATCAGATGAGTGAATTAGAATCATAGAATGTGTTGGTTTGGAAGGGACCTTTAAAGGCCATCTAGTCCAACCCCCCTGCACTGAGCAGGGACATTTTTAACCAGATCAGATTGCTCAGAGCCCCATCGAGCCTGACCTTGAACGTCTCCAGGGATGAAGCCTCCACCACCTCTCTGGGCAACCTGTTCCAGTGTTGCACCACCCTCATTTTAAATAACTTCTTCCTGATACCTGGTCTAAATCTACCCTGCTCTAGCTTAAAACCATTGTCCCTCCTGTTGCTGCACACCCCTGTAAACAGTCCCTCCCCAGCTTCCCTGTAGCTGCCTTCAGGCAGTGGAAGGCTGCTCTTAGGTAATTAATGTGGGGGGAAGGGCCAGAGAGGGCTACATGGATGATAGTTCTTAAGTGTGATATTGCCACAAATCTTATGCCCTGCAGGACTGACAGAACTGCTGCTGTTAGTTGGGATGGATGTTGGGAGTGAAGTGGGAGAACCCATATTTTGGCAGATGGGCAGAGGGGTGTGGAATTAGGAATTACTGTTACCTGTACTCTAAAGCATGTTGCTGTTAGTGTTTCTCAGACTGTTCCTTTTGAGACTTGGTTGAATTGTGACAGTTGTCTAGTCTCCATAGTGAGTCCATTCAGTTGAGGAAAATACTGAACTCTGTTCTTCTAAATATCTGGTTAGTTGTACTAAACGAGGTTTCTGGCTTTCTGAAAATCAGTTTCTGTGCTGAGACCAGATGTCTTTAATTTTCGTGTATTCTGGAAGGGAAAACTGCATTTAAAACTCTTAACATGAAACTACTTGTTTCAGGGTTTCATATAATGCTTTTAAAAAAAAAAAATAAGCATGCTCAGGAACATCTGGAAGTACACTTTCCATCCTAATTGTGCAGCATCAAGTGACCTCTTAACTTGGCTCAGTGCTTTTAATTCAGCCCATGGCAGAGGGAGGTCATGGACCACTCAGAACTGGATCACCACAATGAACTCATAAGACGGACTAGTTGAAGCTAGTTTCCCATTTTCTCAGGGACAGCAAGTCGTCTACGCACACAGTGTTTCCACTTAGCTGTTCAATAGACTCTGCCTTAAAGTTAAGTGATTCCTCATTTCAAATAATCTGGTGAAGTATAAACCAAATACTTTGTTCTTGAGAGCGTGGTGTTCAGAGACTGTTCTGATTAAGGCTTGTTTTTCATGACTTCGCTATTTCCTTGACCATCCCTATCTGCGTAGCCAACAGGCAAAGTCATGCCTTGAGCTATGTCGGCAGGTGAATCTCTTATGTGATACCATGGCTTGGACTCACTCCCTCTTGGACAGCCAGGTTTTAATGTGTCTTGAAGAGGCAAGTTGGATGGGAGCCTTGACCAGTTGGCTGCAGAGCTAGGAGCTGTATCAACTAACTGTTGAGAGGCTGAGGGGCTGGATGTGTATCCTAGGAGATGGGTACATGGGCTTTGTTTCTCAGAAGTCTCCAAAACCATTATGAAAGTTAAGTCACCTTGCATTTCCACCCAGACACAACAGTGCAGCCATTGTATGTGAAAAATGCCTGCAGTCATGTTCGAAGTTACTACCTAATTCATTTTCTTTGGAAGTTGCCAGTGTCAGAAGTTTAGATCTGACATTGTGAGCAGAGTGCCATAGTATGTGAGATCAGTTTGATGGCCCCATCTGCTTCGTAATCTCTGGTTACAAGAATGAGGCAACATCTTTCTAAAGGGGGCAGAGATGATGGTGAAGCTGTCGCTGCAATTAATGAAAAGCTACAGGCTGGGTTCCAGAATGGCTGCTAGAGTTAAATCATCCTGATTTAAAGTTATTTATAGTTCAAACTAGATAACTAAAAGTGGAAAACTAATTAGTTTGCAAATGAACAGTTATGTTGAATTCCCTATTTGTATACACTATGATTAGGTATTTCCTTAAACTTTTCTTCATTGCCTTGAAAGCTGAAATAATTGTTTTGCAAAGGGCTGAGAGGAACTCAGACTTTCTTCACTCTCCCTGCTGAGCCCCCGCACTTTTTTTTGTCATTTGGTCTGCACACATACAACTCCTGAAACATGGTACCAACGTCAAGCACTATTGCTTTGTGTTTGCCTGGGAAAAGAAGGGCTGCTTGAAATCAGTGATATCCTATGTATCCAGGGATCCAGCACATGTTGGATTCTTCTTCATTCTTGGTTCGTCTTTTATTTCCTCAGCTTGCATATTCAAACCTGGCAGGCAAGCTATGACTGTAAGCTTGAAGTATCCCAAAATCAAAACTTAATTGGCAAAACTGTTTTTGCAG